TGTCAATATGCCTGGGGCACTTATTTGCTGAGGAATTGACAAACAAGGTTCCCACACGATTATTTTGTTATGTGCAGCTCTTGTTACATAAATGCCCTTTCCCATCAAGTGCAGCTGCATTGTTTCCCATGTTACACTCGTGTTAGTTTTGAGTACATAGTGTTCTAACTAACACTGGTTTGCAGTTGAGCTAATAACCTGTATTGCTCTAAACAGCAACTGTGAATTGTGCTTATATAGTGCCTTTCATGTAGAAAAGTGACTCAAAGCATTTCATGGAGATTGAATGAGAGCTTGATGTGGGTGAGAGATAAAGGATAGGAACATAGGAATTCGGAGCAGGAGTAGGCCATTCGGCCCCTCAAGCCTGCCCCGCCCATTCAATATGATCATGGCTGATCTTCTAACCTAACTCCATATACCTGCCTTATCCCCATATCCCTTAATCCCTCTATTCTTTAGAAATCTATCAATCTCAGTCTTGAATATGTTCAAGGACTGAGCATCCACAGCCTTCTGGGGTAGAGAATTCCATAAATTCACTATCCTCTGAAGAAATGTTTCCTGAACCCTGTTCGAAAAGGCTGACCCTTAATCTTGAGACTGTGACCCCTAGTTATAGATTCTCCTACCAGGGGAAACAGTCTCACACTGTCTACTCTGTCAAGCCCCATAAGAATCTTATATGTTTCTATAAGATCACCCCTAATTCTTCTATATTCTAGAGAATATAGGCCTAGTTTACTCGACCTTTCCTCATAGGTCAACCCCCTCATCTCAGGAACCAACTTAGTGAATCTACACTGCACCCCCTCTATGGCGAGTATGTCCTTTCTTAAATAAGGGGACCAAAACTGCACACAATATTCTAGGTGGTGGGTAGAAGTAAGTTGACCAAGGATGCATTCAAAGAGGTAGGTTTTCAGGAGTTCTGACAATGGCGAGGCAGTAATGCTAGGTCGTTTTTAGGGAGAGAGTTGCAGACAGTGGGGGTGAGGTGGCTGAAGGCTAACCCGCCAATGGTAGGATGGAAAGGCAGGGAACGTGGAGTGTGCCTGAGTTGGCAGAGAAGAGTTAGTGGGCGAGTGGATCAAATGCATCCTTCTGTTCTGGGCCACTATTGACCGAGAGTAAGTACATTGGGGTTGGGAGAGGGGTGGGGAGTTGGATATTTAGCTAAACTGAGATCTCAGGTTACTGCCCTATTTCCCCATTTCATGCAAAGGCCTGGAGTGTGTCTGTACATACAATAGCATTATAATAATAAAGTATAGAGCAAGACTAGATTTAAAGATTTTTTCCCCCTTTCTACACTCTCAACTTCCAAGTAGATTTGGATAACAGACTCCCATCTGTATAGATCACTCCTTCAAAAAACAGCCGAGACAGTACAGGTTCAGAGTTAGGAAGGGCTGTTTGAAGGCAGACACCAGGAAGGATTTCTTCATTTAGAGGCTAACCAACAGCTGGAGTGGGTTACCTGGCAGAGTAGTGAAAGGGTAACACTTGTGTAGGTGATGCTGATGTGATAAAATATACTCCCAGGTTTGCAAGTCTCAAGAGTTCATCCACATACCATTCCTTCTCCCCACCACACACACAGGCACACAAAAAAAATAAAAGAGATTAACAAAATGTTTTTTCTAGGCTTTAGTTGGCATGCTATTCAACTAGCCACCCAGCCAGACCTTTTGTTACCCAGACACCTTGACAGAAAAATATTATCCAACACTCTGGGAACAGGGAGTGGGAGTCAAACCAGTCTTGTATTAGTGTTTTATTTTTCCTGTCAGCCTTTCTTCAGAATAGAAAAGCCACGTACGGTTTCTCGTACCCCCTGGTAGACTAATAATAGCTCAGCTCCTCATGTCCGTACAGACATCACATCCTGGCTGATTATGGGACACTGCTGCACACAAGTTGGCTGCCATGCTTGCATACAAACACACAGTCACTACACTTGACAGCAATTCTCTGTGAAGTGCTTTGAGACAATTTGATGTTAATAGGTACTTTATCAACTGCAAGGATTATTAATCTGTTACTTTGCTCCACGTGAGCTTGAAGGTATTTAAAATATGTTCAGTGCAATCCAAATACAGCCCGACTGTAAAAGGTTAAGACATTTTACATATAACCCCCATGTAATCAATTCTTAGAATTTGTGCAGTTTGTCTTATAGGAATATAAGACCAACCTTTATGGTCGGCCAACAAAATACATTTTCTTGATTTTGCCATAAATTAAGAAGTATTCAATCAAGAATAAAAAATGAAAACACACCACCAATTGATCACAGATTTACTTAGAGACATGCAAATGTTTGAAGGACCACTTCTTGATGGCCACAGGTTGATCACTACTGATTTAGGATGTTTTTGAATTACCAGCTGGGTTGAAAGTAAAGTGAATGTGGTTTGAATTACGCTTTTCCAAAAACAGGATTGTCTCTTTTAAGTTCCACAAATGTGAACAGGGGACATTTCTACAAATTAAAATGGGAAGTGTTGGCTGAACGAATTTTTGGAATCCAACAGTGAAACAAAGGGGTTAATTTTGCGATATTTCTTAACTGGATTTCTTATTCAGAAATCAAGCCTGTGAATCTGACTTCTGAGAATGCCACTCCACCAGGATCTATTCCAGGACGTGATGTGAATCGTGTACCTCTAGTTACTGATTGGAGTCCGCACTCAGATTTCTGGGTTATGAAATCCCATTAAAGAAATACTAGAAAACTGACCCTTAATTCAGTTAAAAGATTCTTCATGAATATTATTGCATCCTGCAAAGAGCAGCCAAACTGGGATGCTCAGCACAGAATTACTGTTGAGGTAATGACTCTGTGTGGGGATTCTGATGCACAAGTTAGTATATTTATAAATATTGAACACTGAAACCTTGCTGGACTGGTTTACAATCAGTATTTTGATTTGTGGTGAAAATACATACAAAAATAAATATTTTTAAAAGAAGTATTTAAAGTAAGAATAGAGACTCTTCGTGTCATGAGCTTTGATTTCAATTCACTGAGAAACATTAGTGTGTAGTATGCTTTTTTTGTGTAAAGCACTGTGCTGGACTTCACTCGTGTTCATTCCCTCTGGTTTTGATCTATTATCCCATCCACATGAATGATGCTTATATAATGGCCTAGATGTGTCTCAATTACATCAGGAAAGTCCCTAAGGTCAATTGAACGCCATTAACCTGCTGCTTGCTTTCAGCGCAGAGTCAAGTACTGTATTTGCAGTGGCGAGCAATCAGTGAATGTGATCTGATCCCCTCATTCCACAATAGGAAATGGCTCATGTTTAACTGGTGTGAGNAAAAAGAGAGTTATGGAGAAAAAAGGGCCTTGAGATATAGGTTAGTTGCCTAAGGGCCCTGGTTGCACTTCCCAGCATGAGAGTCCAGCATGAGCCAGTTACTGACAGGCATTACTGTAACAGGCCCTTTGGAGGCCAGGAAATTAGCTGTCTGTGTGGCTACCAGATGTCGACAGTATTTCTGTGCAGGGAATCTAATAATGCAAGATCACTTGATCCCACTAACATCGCAGCAAAACTCCCCGTTGAGGACACAAGACGCTTACACCTCACTCTTCTACAGTGTGTAGGGATGAGGAGGGGTGAATGTATCAGCCTGGCTCAGTTGGTGGCACTCTTGCCATTGAGTCAGAAGGTTGTGGGTTCAAGCTCCATGTGAGGGTTTTGAGCTCACACAATGTATGCTGACACTCCATTATAGTGCTGGGGCTGTCTTTGGATGAGGCGTTAAACCATCTGTCTGCTCAGGTGGATGTTAATGATCCCATAGCAATATTTAAAAAGAGAAGGGAGATTCTCCCAGTGTCCTGGCCAACAATCCTCTCGGTTAATTACAATAAACCCCCAAATAAAATTGGTCATTTACTTCATTGCTCTTTGTGGAACATTGCTGTGCGCAAATTGGCTGACATGTTCACCTACAAAATTGAAAGTCACTACACTTTAGAGTAAATCGCATGGAGTGCTCCGAGACAGCTTTCTGTAGCAAGTGGGAGGATGATTATTTTTAATGTACGGTTTAGAAATAATTGGAGTGGAATTTGAAATTAAAGAGTAACTGTATCGTAATTGGAAAATTAACTTCCAGAGTAGCCATAAAATTGGTTACATTTACTTCTAAATGAGCAGTGGCAAATTTGTGAAACATTCTGAATGGAGCAGAACAGTCCTTAGCCAACATTGACTAGCTCTTCACCTTGTGGGAATGGAGAGTAGATTAATCTTCGCCCACCACCCCCTCCCCCCAGCATTGAAAGTACAAGCTCGTCTCCCTAGCTGAGGATCTTGAAGAATGCGAATCACGGCTGGGTTGAAAGGCAAATGAGAATAACATCAAAGTTTGGAGCTCATATTTCTCCAAACGTTGTCAAAGCTCTTGACATTCTTCGGAGCTTCAATTAGATGATTTATGACCAGCAAAGTAGTGGTTTAGGTCTCTTACCTTGTTTTCTCAAAAAAAAGTTCTGTTGTGCTTTTTTGGGAAGGGGAGGAGGTAAGCATTGAGGAATTTGGTTTTGGTGGGAACATTGCTGGAAGGACCTATTGTAACCTTTGAGCCTTGGGTTTGAGCTTTGACTATTGGAATTTGAGCTAGACTAGGCTGACACTCCACTACAGTGCTGGAGGAGCATTGTATTGTCAGAGGTGCCATCCTTCAGATGAAACATTAAACTGAGATCTTGTCTGCCTGTTCAGGTGGATGTTAATGATCCCATGGCACTAATTGAAAAGAGAAGGAAATTTCTTCCAGTGTCCTGGCAAACAATCCAGATACAATTAGTTATTCACTTCATGGCTATTTGTGGATCATTGCTTTGGTCAAATTGGCTACCATGTTCCATAGATACCCACCAATCCTGTGAAGCGCTTTCTGATGTCTCGCCGACGTGATATCAAATATGAGGATTATTATTATTATTATATTATAACCCATGCCTTATTTTATTGCAGATATCCCAGCTGATGTCAGAAAATTGTCGGGAAGGGTTGACCGAAGCTGTCCTGAACCGGTACAACTCCGACAAGCCCTCAGTGTACAGCTTCCCTGGGTCACAGAGCACGTATGTCACCAGTGTAGCCTCGAGTGGGACATCAGCAGCTGCCTCCTTCTTCGCCAGGTAACTCCCTCCTCCTTCCATTCAGCATGAGTGGCGCACACGAGCAACACAGGGCATGTTTGCCTACAAATTCCACCTGAGTCTAGATTTACTCTATTTAGGTAACATTTTAGAGCGTCCAGAATTGTTGAATTCAGGTCTCACTTTAGAAGCTGGTTTTCTGCAGAGTGGAATTCAGGTGGAATTTCTACACAAATATATGCTGTAACAAGGAGTGGCCACTTCTCCCACAGTATCTCCCCGAAGCTTATTCTGCTCCGTTCAGTGTGTTTCTCAGGCTTATTCCTGTGCTCTTAATGAATAAGTTTAATGTTTAAAGTATGAATAGCATGACACTGGGATGTGTTAATCTTTAATGGGTATAATTCTTTCAAGGAATATGTGGGATTCCTTGAAAGAATTGTAAATGGCAGATGCTACAATTACCCAGGCTGACCCTCTGGGACTCCATTTGAGACACCGATCTCAGGTTAAAACGCTTTGGATTTTGACCAAGGGAGGCATCTGGCTGGAGAACGGAGCCCGAGTGAAGTTTCAGTGGATCATGTTGAGACACATCAGGGAACGTGGATGATTTCACTATTTGCAAATCTTATTGTGAATATCGCAAATTATACTTATTAAAGATTTAACATGAATTATGCTTTAGACTTCAATTGGATTTGTTTAACATTTCACAGGGACATTATTTGCCAACTTACCAAACGGCAAAATAGCCCAGTAATTTCCCAGTACAAACATGTAGCAGAAAGATCACTATGCTTGTGGGTACAAGAGGGAAGGAATATTTCTATTAGTTCACTAGCATTTCTTCGTCTAAAAGAAACAGAGTGGTCCAGGAGCTGGGAATGAGATAGGGACCGGGAATGGGACAAGGGCTGCGACTGTCATCGTGACTTGCATTTTAAAGTTGGCTTTGCTGTTGTTGAAAATGAATGGAAACCTTCATACTTTATTGATTACATATCAAAATACTCCTAAGTGTCTAAATAACAGTCATGGAAACAAATCTTTCGGCATTTTTGAAATTCCTGAGCATTACACTCAACTATTCACACAGAATGGGATTTTCCTTTTAGTTTTCACTTTTCTCACACTCTCATTGAGTATCCTGTGATATATATTCATTGTTGGGATTTTGTCCTTTATGAACTCCAAATACAGGAAATATTAAAGGAATAGGCTCAATGGGAAATATGCTAACAGTTGCTTCTGGGTGGCTGCGGGGGGTGGGGACTTGCGGGAGGTGTAGGCAATGGATAGCAGAGAGATTGGGAAGGGTGAGATTCAGGGGCAGGATGATAAAAGTAAGTGAGGGCAAGGGTGACTGAAGGATAATGGGGTAGAGTGGCCTAGAGTGGGCATGAGGAGTATAAGGACAAAGTAGGTAAAGAGCATAGTACCCATGCAAAGGGGTAATGTCACAATTGGACAAAGGAAAAGGGGACCAGCAAGCATAACTGCCATTGCTCGTTCTACCCTGTCCCACTCCTGTTAGCTGTACTGAAGTATATGTGCCAACTTCGTTGAGCAGTTGAACGCACACTGTCGAGAGTTGAAAGCTGAACTGTCGGAGAGATTGGGTTAACTTGGGCGGGGAGACTATAAATCAGCAAGGAGTGTCTGCACACACACCAGCCCCTGAAAGGGATGCAGCACCCATGCTGAAAGTGAGATCACATTACACGCTGAGCAGTGACACCTGAAAGTGTAACTTTAAGTAACGGCTCCCATAAATCATAGCACAATTGCCCTCCGCTGTCACTAACAGGAAAGAGAGGCCTGACAGACAACTTTTGACATTATTGAACAGTAGACTAAAGCAATAATTAAATAAAAATAAACCACAAAGATTGTCCATACAGACCCTGAGAGCATGCTGACCAGAGGGCTGGAATATCAGACCATCGTTTAATTCAATGAAACCTCAAAAAAAACTGCTCATGTTTAGAAACAGCTTTGCGATGGGCGGGCGGCTGCTAAGGATTTACTCGTAGCAATAAATCTAAATTATTATCACCCCAGCTATTTACTCACAGCTGCCAGTGGGTCCTGGGTTTTGATGATATAAATCTCTTGTCAGCACAAATATAGAATTTTCCAAAGCAAGAAAAGAATACCAATGAGAAAACCCGGACCAGATGCCCAGCCCATCTGATAAACACACTTTTCAGGTTTGCCTACGAATAAACATTCACTACACCTCACAGAAAATTTCTGAAGTGCATTGAGATGTTTTAAGGCCCAATATCAACTGCAAGGGGCTTTTATTTAAAAAAATATAATAATAATCCTTACTTCTGATATAGCATCTTTCACGTTGGGAGGGCACGTCACACGGTTTGCTGTAAAATGTAGAGATTGGGTAGTTTGCAGTGAAACATGGTAGCTAATTTTCACACAGCAATGTTCTACAAACAGCCATGAAGTGGTTGAGAGATATATATATATATATATATATATATATATAAGATTCCATGTACAATAACAATAAATAAAAATTTGTTCTTTACTTAAATCTCCCAGCCTCTCCCTCAGACTTACCGAACCAGAGAGCAATCTAGGCCTCCAGTTCGATTCCCAGCTGTACTGCGTCCCCCACATCCGGTGCCTGAGCAGCACCGCCTTCTTCCACTTCTGACACATTGCCCGCCTCCGACTGTACAATCCCCGAAATGCAGTCGAAACCCTCGTGCATGCATTTGTCACCTCCCGCTTGGATTACTCAAACGCACTCCTCGCCGGTCTCCCCAGCTCCACTATTCAATAAATCCAGCTCATTTAGAACTCTGCTGCCCACATACTGACCCGGACCAAACTCCGTACCCACATCTCACCAGTTCTGGCCAGGCTCCACTGGCTTCCCATCACCAAACGTATCAACTTCAAGATCCTCACACTCGTGTTCAAATCCCTTCAATCCCTGGCACCTCCCTACCTCTCCGACTTCCTCACTCCCCAATCCACCACAATGTCTTTTTTCCTGAAAGCCAGAAAGTAACTCATTCAAAGAATGTTACTCTGTTAGACAGGGAGTACTGATTAATAATAAATAATGTTAACAATCCTTGCATTTAATATAATCAGGAGGATGTTTCAAAGTGCTTCACAGGTGAATGATTCATCGTTATTCATCTTTATAAGAGGAATATGCCGACTGTGAGGCCTGATTTTATACATGTTGCTAATGGCATGTTTCTGACTCAGACATACGAATATTATTGTATATCTGTCTGTGCTTGTTGGAAGAATTTTTCTTGCTATTGTTGCTGAGAAACCAAGGTAAGTTGCCAGGGCCCACATTTAGGGATTGGAGTCCCAGGAATCCTGATCCTGGGATCCCATATGATAATGGTGCTCCCAAAATCCCAGGCTTTATAGAAGAGAATCCCACGATTTTGGGATTGTATTAAAAAAAATAAAAAACAGCGCCAACAACAACAACAAGATTGCATTTGTATAGCGCCTTTCACGTCGAGAGGACGTCCCAAGGCGCTGGACAGAGTACAGCATTCCAGACCCGAGCTGGGGTCGGGGGGGGAGAAGGGAGGGGAGGGGAAGGTGGGTGGCCGATGACATGGTCAAAGTGGAGGGTCTTGAGGCGGGACTTGAAGGAGACTAAGGAGGAGGTGAGGCGGAGTGATTGGGGGATGAAATTCCAGAGGTTGGGGGCAGAGTGGCTGAAGGCTCTCCCGTCTCTCCACATATATAATCTTATGTTCATCTGTTTCACTGTCATTGTTTTACTTCTTGCTTTCTGTCAATCTCTCTTCAGTATGTCACTAACTTTCTCTTTCTCTCTGTATTTTACATTTTTGTCCCTTTTCCTGTACATGTGCCAATGACTCTTATTCATTTTCTCTGGGAGTATGCTTATCTCTCTGCTCTGTATCTATCTCTCTCTGCCCCGCTGTTTGTGCCACTAACTCTCTTTCAGTCCTTTTGTGTTGTGTCCCATTTATTTTCTTTATATTATATTAATAATTCTTGTATTTGATATCGTGCCTTATCGTGTCTTCGAGACGCCTCAAAGCGCTTCACAGAATATACAGTAAAAAAAATTGACTGTATATTTTATGTGAGGTACAGATGGAGGCGGGTAATGTGATGGAGATGGAAAAAAGCAGTCCTGGTCAGGGAATGGATGTGGGGTAGAAAGGAAAGCTGGGGATCGAACCTGATGCCTAAATGCGCATGGGTTCGGTTAGTTTGAAGAAGAGTGGAAAACACCACTCTTCAACGATCGGGCTAAGTTGAACCCATTGTTACATTGCAGGAAGTGTCAGTGCCTGTAAGGTTTATATAGAGGTCCAAAGTTCTGTGTGACAAGGTCACAGTGGTAAAGATGTTCCTGTACACGGTGGGTCACACTTAATGAATAACACCAGCCATCCTTCATTATAGGGTTAAGAATTAGGAATCTTAACCAAAAAATTACCAGTATTTACAATCAGCAAGTGATAAACCGTTTTACATGCTTAAGGGATTAAGATTCTGAAGAGAGACTTGACAAGTTGGGACTTTTTTCATGGGGCTGAGAAGGTTAAGGGATAACATGTAGAGGTCTTTGGGATTATGAATGCTTATGAAAGAGTAAATAGTAAGAGATTATTTCCGCTGGTCAGTGAGTCAGTAATGAGAAGACACAAATTTAAGATAATAGCAGACAGAATTAAACGGGAGATTAGAAACATTTCTTTACATAGAAGGTAGCAGCAGTATGAAATTTTCTGCCACAATCCATAAATGATGCAGAATTCATAAATTATTTTAGAAGGGAACGAGATAATAATAATATAATAATAATCCTTGCATTTGATATAGCGCTTTTTCACATCTTCTCGACTTCTCAAAGTACTTCACAGAATATACTATAAAGTGAATTGACTGTATATTTGTGGGTGAAACGCGGCAGCCAATTGCGCACAGTAGTGTCCCACAACAGTCGTGGATTGAAAATGACCAATTTATTATTGTTTTGGAGGGATTATTATTAGGCG